GCCAAATTATAATTGAACCAACATACATTAGATTATTGGTTCTGATTGATTATTTTCTCGTCTAGTCCTACCTCTTCCATTTTCTGGTTGGTTCTTTTTCCATCCTCCCATCTTTTCCATTGTCAGATTGGATTTTCTTTTTGTTGTCGTCTCTCATCAACAAAAATGTTCATAAATAGTTGTCATAATTTAATCTTTAATGGCATGTATTTTTATCTTTTGTTTTGTTTTAATATGCGAAAATTAATTGATCAGGACAAAGGTAACAAAAATATTTAATCAACGAAATTAGCTCTGTAGGCAAGTCATTTTGATTCTCAGATGAGGATGTAGACTGCAGGAAGAGGGGCCCCCTAGTGGCCATGTGGGGTCCTACAACTTTGTGTAGTCTGCAAATAGCAATAAACGGCTTTGGGGTCTCATTTATCAAACATTGCGTAGATTCCTTACTAAAACCGTACTTAAGCTCAGCACAAAATGTTTTTACTTATGCCAAGTAGGTTTGTGATCTATCAAACATGGACTACGCACAGCTGCACGTAATCTCCGCTTCATAAATCAGAAACTATCCAGAAAGGTTCTCAGCTGCATTTTAGTCACATCCCGCCCTCACCACGCCCACTTACTGCCATAAATAGTCAATGCAAAGTTCCTTGTGGATCTCATGCATACACATAAGCCGGCTCGTTGCAGCGCTCCGCCAATTACGATGGCGACCGTAGATCAAGGCAGATCAAGGAAGCTCAGTTTCACAGAAGCAGAAGTTGAGGTACTTGTGGGTGAGGTGGAAAAATGAAAGGAAGCGCTTCTGCAAAACAAATAAGAGAAAATCCACGGAGTGGCACAGTGTTGCTGAAGCCATCAGTGCTGAGTTCTTCAGAGAGATCTGTGGCGGATATAAAGAAAATGATTCGAAAAGGATTTGATCCCCAGACTCCCGGGTGAAAGTCACGTGCCAGCCAGTCAGCCAAACAGAGATCTCCCTTGTCCAAGTAGCCAGGGCGCATGATCAATCGGGTCAAAGTGACAGGACACACCCTGTCACTTTGACCCATGACATTCGGTCTCAATCTGTCCCCCTGCTGATATTCTACATTCCGTATTCTGCACTTCAGGCTGTGTGTGTGTGCGTGCGTATGTGTGAGTGTGCGTGCATGTGTGTGTGCACGTGCGTGTGTGTGTGTGTGTGTGTGTGTGTGTGTGGGGGGGGGGGGGGTCTTGTTCTGTGAGAAAACAAAGCAGTACAAGTGATTATTCTGCTGGATTTCATAATTTTATCCTTCTCAGCAGCAGCACTGCAGGTGCTCTCCATGTCCAAAATGTGTGTAAGCCCAGTCCTTAGTCAACTTAAAGTTGCGCACATCTTTCCACTAAGTTTTCTTTCATAAATCCCAAAGTTTGCGTGGAAAGTTGCTTACGCAGTTTTCCGACCCCGTTTTGTGCGTAAGCAAGCTTTATACATGAGGCCCCTGGTCCTTGTTTAGACACTTAACCCACCTTGCTGGTGGTCGTTGGAGACTGATGACGCTAGTGTTTGGCAGCCTCACCTCTGCCACTGTGCCCCAGGACAGCTGTGGCTACAACGTAGCTCACCGCCACCCCCACCATGTGAATGTGTGTGTGGGAGAATGACTGGTGTTGTTGTAAAGCACCTTGGGGGGTTGTAAAACCCCCCTGCAGTTTTGGTGCATGGCCTGTCTCCTGGACTACTGGATAGATTTTAATGAAGCTGTCTGAAAGTAATCTTTACCCATACTTTTACGACTGATTGACTTGGAATCAACCCAAACCTTAATGGTCGCCAACTCATTAGAACCACTTTATTGTCATTGAGCCAGCGTCCCGGCACAATGAAATTTTCGTTTCAGTGCAAGCCGTCCAAGATTTGACATACAGCACATTAAAAACACATAGACAGAATTAGGCTGTCCTGTGGGCATGCAGCCATCATGGCGCTCCCATATAGATAGATGACAAGAGGATGGGGGGTATTTCAAACCTACTCCTAATAGGGGATACGTCTGAAATAGAAAAAAACACCTCAGTACTTAAAAGCACATATTCAGACAATTACAAAATAATCCATGAGTGGCAGTGGCACTCCTAAATATGGCACAACATGAAATTCCAGGGCAACAAAATGAAGTACAGAAAAAAGGTGAACATTTTTATCCTGCCTTTCATTATCGCTGTTACATGACAATGCACACAAACCACATTGGGACCCATTTTTCCCGGCGTTCTATCAGAACACCTAGCTTGTAGCTAACATTAATATCAGATTCTGCCAACAAAACGGCTCTAAAACAATTCATATGTAAATGTTTTGCATATTTATTGCAAAATCTAATTTTTCTGCTGCTCCAGTGCTGCAACAACGTAATATTAATAAGAAATGATCATATCTTGTGTTTTACAGTGTTGTTAAAGCTTCAGATTATTAACAATGTGTTGTTTCAGCTGTGAGATTAGTCGATGGGATCAATGAAAAAGAATGTTTGTCATGGACTCCATGGAAACGTTAAGAGAATTCACAAAACGCGGCTTTCAGTTGGTTTTGTGGCATATTTTTGTGAGTTTAGAAAAGAAGCAGATGAGACAACGGTCCAACAGTTTTGTTTTTCATCTGACAATATTAGAACATGTCAGTAATGCCTGAGGTGTTTTTACAAACAATGTATACTGAACACTCCTGGACAGGGTATGAATTACACAGAAGCTTGTGGGGGAGCACAGTTATAGGGGTGGGGGGTGTTCTGTTTGGCCTTGGCCCCCAAAATGCCTTGAAATGGCCCTGGGTGTGTGACAGAGTTTTGAAGGTGATCTGAATTGTATCAGATGTATAAATATGACATGTGTATAACTTATGGTTTTATACAGGTAAAAACGTGTAGTGGAGATAAATCAACCTACATTTTACTTTTCAAACACTTTTGTTTTCTTGTTTTTAGTTAACTATTTCCTGTCCTGTCTGTCTCTCATCCTGCATCTCTAAAATCTCTAGAAAAGTTGCTGCTTGGATTCTTACTTTTTTCCTCATCAGTTACTTTTGAGCAGATCGAAGAGATCTTCTGATCGCAAAGCGGAGAGCACGTTTCGATGATGCGTCAGTGAGGTGAAATCAGCGCAACACATGATGAGCGAGTGCGTCAGGCACGATTAAAAGACAGAATACCAGAGGATACAAAAGGACATGAACGGCCGTGTGTTTATAGTTTTTTGGTTACGCCACTTTGACAATGTGCCATGTGCAGAACATAGCTGCCTGGAGCGCACCAACGCTGCCCCATACTTTGATCCCTGCTTCTGGATGAAAAACCGGACATTATCATGAATGCAAGCCCCCCCCCCCCCCCCCCCCCCCCCCCGGACGCCCCGGACAGAGAGTGAAAAGTGGACATGTACGGTCGGTTTGATGCCAGCTCCGGCTTCCTCCACGACAGAGCCGTGTCCAGGACTTTTAAAATGGGGTGGCCCATATGGGGGCACTTGTTTATGCATGGGTGGCACCAATGGTTATGCTTATTTATTTATTTACACAAATTGTTTATTTATTTATTTACTTTCCAGTGAATTTTGGAGTTTCACATTGCACAATCACCATTTTTTTCTATTCATCTTCTAGTTTTGTGGTGGTTAGCAAGTCACTTCTTGTTGCATTATTGCCACCAACTGGAGTTGAGTGGGACTCTAAATACTATTTCAAATTCAAATTCAAATTCAAAAATACTTTATTAATCCCAGAGGGAAATTGATTGAATATGAAAAAATAACAAATAACATTAATTCTACAGAAATGTTCTGTAGGCCTGGGCTAGAAGACAATGTTAAAGGTGCATGCTACCACACACAATTTTTGGAGTTTACAACTCAAGCCTTTTGTCGACAATGTAAAGTCAATTTAAACTGGAACTTAGTAGGGTGACACCTGGGGTGGCCAATCAGATTCTAAGGGTGGCATGTGCTACCCCAGGCCACTCCCTGGACACGCCCCTGCTCCACGAAGATTTAAACACGACATGGGATACTGTCTTAAATGCGAGACAGAGCCTGGTCATGCTACTCTCCAGGCCAGCTCATGTCGACACGGAGCGCACGCGGGGATGTGGGGTGGTGGTGGTGGTGCGTTCAAGAGTTGGGGTTGCGAAGCCGTTGCTTGGCCCAATCCGCCTGGCGCCGCCCATGGATGGTGCAGAGGAGTTGGCGCTCTGACTGAATCACTGTGGCGCAGCTCCGTGAAAGGCTGAGCAGAGCATGCTTTTGTCAGGGCTTCTCGTTAGGTGCTATTTCAGCCAAGTTTCTTAACTCACTCACTCCAGCATATGCGCTCTTCTGCACCCATTGGCCGTGGTTTCACTGGATTGCGTCTGTGACATGTGACAGACGCTCTGAGGTCCCGCAGCCATTACACTTTTCACCCCGCGCACCCCCTAGCGGCAGCTCGTGCATCCCCAGGGGTGCGCGCACCACACTAAGGAACCCCTGACAGTCTTATCGATATTGAGCTAATATTTATTGAGGCAGCTACCAGATTCAAGCACATTTCACCCAATTCTTGCTTAGAATGTTGCCATAAACTGCTGAGTCACTCCTTGTTAAAGCAAACTATGAACCACTTGATAAATTTGAATAAAACTTCAGGATGTTATTTATTAAAAGTGAATAATTGGCATCAAACCCATTCAAGATGGCTGCCGCATTTAGTTGGCATTGGTAAACATTAAACTGAAGCTCCAACTTTTGTGGGCAATGCTTACCACGAGGTTTAGGGCTACGTTTATGATAATTGTTTTACTAGTATTCCAAAAGCAAGTGTGCGAATCTGGCTTGTAGGCATTTTAATGCAAAATTGTCATATTTTGCATGACTGTCCATATGCATGTCTTAAAGGAGTTAAAGTTTTCCAAGCCTTGAGCAACACAACTAGCGAAACATCTGCCATCAAAGAAATAGTGTTAAGCAATTTTGCTTTTGTCTTTCATTAAAAAAATAGCAGAAACTTCATTGTAACGGAGATGTTTATTTAGACAACCGAATGCATGCCAGAAAGATGTGGTACAGCAGCAGCAACTCTCAACTACATCCTGTTTGGAACTCTGAGGGAGAGAGAGGGAGAGAGAGAGGGAGAGAGAGGAGAGAGAGAGAGAGAGAGAGAGAGAGAGAGAGAGAGAGAGAGAGAGAGAGAGAGAGAGACAGAGAGAGAGAGAGAGACAGAGAGAGAGAGCTGTGGGAGTTGGTACAGAATACTGTGCACTTTATTGCTTTGACACTTTACTCATATCAAGTGTTGGGGGGGGGGGGGGGGGGGCATCTTTGAATGAAAGATTTAAGGAGCTTGGATCTAAAACAGCTTTGGCCAGAATATCAATATAGCGGTTTTGGCAAAAAGACAAAAAAGTAATTCACACAGTTTTAATTAAGGGAATCTTAACCTCTCACACAAAAAACACTTAAAAGACAATAGAAAAGATGCACTTACCGTAGGTAGCATTCACATGCAGTATACCATGTCTTCTCCTCAGACTAGATTTAAAATTATTCTCCACTATTTCATACAGAGATTCACAGCTAATGCATTTTTTTCTTCTTTTTTTTTATACCAGTTTGGAGAATTATTTCACACACATATTAGCTACTTGGTGAAATGAAGACATGTTAGCAAGATCTGGAGGGGGAAGGCGGACAAAATGAAAGACAAAATTGTGCTTATCGTTGTCAAAAATGTGATTATTGGAATCCCAAAATTTTAAACAGTCGGTCTGTTAATGTGATTTTGTTGCTGTTGTTTCTCCAATAGACTGATGAGCATAATATACCAAAATATCAAAAATAAATGCAACCCTTTCACAAAACAACGAACAATAAATAATATTCAAGTGGTGCTCTTGTACTGTATTTGTACTGTATATACACAGAGATTTTGGTTTGCTGTATATATGTACACAAAACTTGACAGCCTCATCTCAGACTGTATTTTTTCCATAGCCTTTCACTGGGATTTGTGGCCCAGTGGCAGAAATACAGTCTCAACATAATAAGTTACTCTGAAGATGTTGGGAGCAGAAGGGATTATGCACAGGGAAGGCTGGTGTGAAACTTCGCCCTCAAAACATAAACATAGGGTTGGAAAGTAAAGTAAATAAAATAAAAAAACACTGTTTTTGATATAGTTAGGATGTAAAAAAAAAATTAGCTTTGTGAAACACTGACAACATGCACAATGCTTTCCCAGCTGCAGCAGAGAAGGTCATGATGGAGCACTCGGTCTGCACATTGGAGTATCTTTGCATGATTTATTTATTCTTTATTTCTTTCATTTGTCTCAAAACAAATGGGGAAAGTTGTGCACATGTTGAGATGAACCCTTCTCTTTCCACCTTCAGGGGTGCTGTTGTCTGTCATGAAAGACCAGCTGATCTTTCCTCTTTTTAAAAGTTATTCATTATAAGAGTTTTAATAAATTTCCACGTACGTGAGTCCACATGCTCAGGTCAGAAGCTGCAGCAGATTGCAGAGAAACTCCGCGGGCTTGCCACTGTCCACTCCACATGTTTCTGTCCTGGTCTCATTTTTCATAGCTTATGTACAGGAGGTTGAAACTGTCTGGGGGTCAGCCGTTTCCTCACACATTTACAGTAAACAATCCAGTCTTTAAGTCCTCTGCTCGTCTTTCTAAAACGTTTGTCCTTGAATGAGGCTTTATTTGTTGCGGTTCACATACTTTCTTGCAGATATAGTTGACAAAAGTGTGAGATGGTTTTGTTGAGGTCACAACTTATACAACGTGTTCATGTAGATGCGTGCCATTGTGCTTGTAATGTGTGTAGATCGGGCTGAATGCGTGCATCTCAGCAGTCTGTTCTGTCCTCAGACACTGCGCGGTGGTCTTTGAAGCTCATGGGTCCTCCTGTTGCGTCCCTTCTTATTTTCCTGCATCCGTTTCCACTTGGCTGCATGCTGGCTGCTCGCCCGAGACGCCCCGACCACCTGCGAACCAACCAGGCCACTCTGCCCCTTTTGTGCTGTTTGAGTCTTCTGGTTGCTTTTAATGGCCTGACCGTTTAACACCCCCAGATTTTGTCGACTTTTGGGGGAATTCAGACTCCGTGTTGGATCTTCTGTTTTTGGAGCTCCACTCTGTGGCCATGGTCTGCCGTGTGGTGGATTAGCTTGCTGCTTCTGAGCAGTTGGAGCTGAAGATTTAGGCCGTAGCACAGACTTGGCAGCACCACCCTGACCATTGCCGTTGGGAGCTTTTGCCTTTTTCTGTTTGCGCTCTTTCTTCCAAACTCTGTCACAAAATTCCTCCACACTGTTCAGCTCAGGATGGTCTAAGAGAGACAGGAAATCTCGGTACCACACCCTGTGCTTAGCCGAGTGGCCCATAGCCCCTCCTGTACCGGGAAATCCAGGCAAAATGTCACCCAGCTTGTTGGTGGGGATGACCTGCAGGTTGAGTCGCAGTAGAGGCTGAATGAAGCCGTGTTCGACCGCCTGGCAGTGGTAGATTCCTGTGTCAGTCTGAGCCAGGCTGCGGATCAGCAGACCCTGGTCTGTACGCACCACTCTGTCATCCATCTTGATCTGGGGCACGCAAACAATAACAATGAATGAAAAACAATACTATTTTTCTAGTAAAAAAATAAATAAAAAGCTACATTTCAGCGTAACTTTTACAACAAGAAATCTCGGAAAGAATTGTTTTAAGCCAATAAAACCCATGCTTATGAAAATTCCTTCGAGAACCAATTGAAACAGCATTTCTAATCTAGCATTAAAATCTTTAAGATGAACCCTAAAAACTGCTGTGTTTGTTTCAGATAAGCCAAAAGATATACGGATCTGCTGCTAAGCTCCACTTCCTGTATCCTATTTCTCATTCCCACTGATTCCTGGGACGGCTGAAGGCCAGCTAGATAAACAGTCAGAGTGCAGATTCTTCAAAAAAAAAAAAAGAATAAAAAAAATACACATAATTGGCTACATCCTAGGGTCAAAAGTGAATCTAAACATCCACACCCAAAGGTTTCTATCCTTTCAGTCCCATAAGGTTGCTGATTAAAGTCAAACAGGAGTCAAACTTTCTATTCTTTTCTGCAGAAAAATGGTAAAAAAGAAAAATTTAATTAAAATGTAGCCATAATTTACACCATTGCTCTTTGATAACTCATTGAAATTGCAAACCTAATGGACACATTCCATTAACTTTACTCCTTCGAACCTAAACACAGACCTCCTGCTTCCGATCATCGTTGGGCTTCTGCAGCTGCCAGTAGATGAGCGCTCTCTGAGACTTGGGGCTACACTCCAGAAACATGCTGCTGTTCTCCACACCAAACACGTTCCTATCCTCCACGCTGCCTCCAAATCCGTCTGCGTCATCTGACCAAACCAGGACAAGGAGATGAAGGGATTCAGGCACGTGAAGAACACAGAGGAATGATGCATGAATGAGTGTTATTTACCGTGATGCTGAAGGTCTGAGCACTGAGAGAGAGGATCCCCATTTCTGATGTCTTGTCGCCTGGTTCTCCTGTGATTGGGGGGGGGAAAAAAAGTTGTATTTTTTTTGTGCTGCTTAATTCCAAACACCAGAGGGCAATGTTGGCCAACACCACAGAAAATAAGCATTTATTTTCACCCCACCTATTAATAACATGCAGGAATAAAAATATAAAAATATCCCAGAAAAATATAAGAACAAAAATGTGTAGAGGAGTAAAAAGTCATGCTCCATTGCTGCTCAATGAGCCGTTATTATGAAACACATTCAGAACTATTTGATCTTGAAATGCCTTGTGAAAGCAGCCGCGCTGTTCACCCTCTAGATGAAATTCCACTATGTCATTTGGCTGTTTTACTATGACAGCAAGGCATTTCCCTAGTCTGGTTTTACTGACTAGCTGCAAACGTTCCCTCTGCTCCTATCTGTCATGGTTCAAAACTGTTGACAGGCCGACATGTGATGTAATTGTAAAATGGGGTGAGCTGAAAAATGATATAGCTGGACGGAAGGACAACAGAGACAAACAGTTGGATATAGCAGTCAGACGCACGCTCGTGTTATCTTTCAATTACTTGAGTTGACATTCCAGTTTTTTTTTTTTTTCGTCGGAGCATGTGAGGGGCTCACTGTCTGGTTCATGCAGGGAAGAGCCGAGGCAAGCCCTTGTTAACCTTTTGGTCAATGTAAGGAAGTTCTCAGTGAAGTTGTTCTGTGTGCATTTGAGAGCTGAAGTGGTCAGCTCAAAGCTGCTGGTTGCAGCAGAGGGTGATTTGAGGGTGTTCATACCTCCTGGCTGCAGTGTGAAATGGCCAGACTGCTTCTGTTGGTTGTAATTTAGTGTATGTGAGCTTGTGTGACCCAGTGTGTGTGTGTGTTTGTGTGTGTGTGTGTGTGTGTGTGTGTGTGTGTGTGTGTGTGTGTGTGTGTGTGTGTGTGTGTGTGTGTGCGTGTGTGTGTGCGTGTGTGCGTGCATGCGTGTGTGTGTGTGTGTGTGTGTGAGCTGCCTGTAGGATGAGTGTCTCAAAACTGCTGCTGTCAGGTAGCCTAGTGAACTAGACCAAATTCTTGCTTTGCAAAGTTTGGTCTAGGCACGCTCCATTGGAACCTCCGCAGCTCCTACCAGGACTCTGGCTGGCCAATCACAGCTCTCTAGAGGGGTTTCAAACACATAACGAGCTTTAATTGGTCCATAATGGTGGGCCAATCATAGTGCTCTATCTGCTTAGTGAACAAATCACAGAGCTTTATCCGCTTTATGGGCCAATCAGGGCACTCTATATGCCTGGTGGGTGGGATGATGCAACAGAGTGAAACAAGAGTATGTCACATTCATTGTCCAGTGGAATGCGGAGATCGTTTGAAAGACAACGGTAGAACCCGCCTCACAACCGAGAGCCGTCAATGGAGCGTGACCAGACTAAATAATACATTTATTTAGTCTGGCTTGCCAGGCTACCTGTCAGGAGCACTAACCAGGTCGCCGGAATGTATTTCTTGGAATTTTTCCAATCCAATCCAATCCAATTTTATTTATAAAGCGCATTCACGAGGCATTACAACCAGACAAGGCGCTGAGCCATTTTCCATGCACATGTGAGTATTTGATCACTAAAAGATTTTCTGATTATTTCCATATTTAGCTAGTTTGACTTGTGTCGTATGTGCTTTTCTTTTTCGCTCCCTTATCTTTTGTATATGCACTACATATTTGCTGATAGACCAGTGGAGACCTGGCGCTGAAGACGCTTTTCTTGCTACTAAACTCAAACCAAAGGTTTCAAAGCCAAGTGCAACAGCAGAACAGAGGTGTACTGATAGCTCCCAGGTGTGAATACATATATTACTTATGTTACAAAGGCAGGATGTTGCTGAAAAGAGCCATGCATGCTCAGCAAACCCTCAGAGGATAAATAAAGCTTCCAGATGATTGTTGAATGTGTCCAAGCTCCTACCTCTTGGCTGTAGGAAAGTATCTTGAGCACTCTGCACCATCCCAGGCGCAATAAGGGTCTCTGGCCAGGCAGCACTCGGCACAGGCTTTCCCATACACCTCACAACGATGCAAAGACATCTGCGATACACCCAGGGCTGATCCAAGGTACAGCTGTTGCTGTGGGAGTGAAAAGAGAAGAAAGGACATAAAATTGTGGCTCAGCTGGAAATTTACTCAAAAACGGTGGTTGGGGGTTCTTTGTTGTGGATGTCTGGTGTTGGTTACAGACCAACAACTGCTTACGTCTTTGTTTCACTTGGACTTTTTGGATTATTTATAATGTGTGAACACAAGCTTTTACCTGCTTAGTGGACAGCTCCATGGCAGTAATGGTAGTAGGCTCCTGTTCAAAACATACAAGAACTTTAGACCCAAACCTTTTAACAAAATGTGTATTTTTATTGAGTTGCTTCGTAAATTACAGATCAGTTTTAAATAACGTACTCTAAAGACAGTCATCTCCTCCAACACAACCTCCTCCAAGTCATGCCAGCTTTCTCTGGGGATGGTTACCACTTTTAGAACAGTTCCTACATCTGAGAAAGAGCAAACAGATACACGTTTATCATTCCAGTCTGTATTGATCAGTGTTGGGCAAGTTACTTCAAAACTGTCAAAGTCAAAGTCAGTTTTATTGTCAATTCTGCCACATGTACAGGGCATAGAGAAATGAAATTACGTTACTCTCAAACTCTCGCTAGATAGAAAATAAACATTTAGTATAAAAAGAGTAACCAAGTTCAGAGAGACTGTGGGGGAAAAGAGAGGAGAGGGGGGAGAGCGGGGATGGAGTTTAGCTTCCTAACTGCCTGATGGATAAAGCTGTCCTTCAGTCTGTTGGTCCTGGCCTTGAGACTCCGCAGTCTCCTCCCTGACGGCAGCAGCTCCAAGAGGCTTTGCATTGGGTGAGTGGGATCAGCCGCAATGCGAAGGGCCTTTTTTGTGAGGCGGGTGCTGTAAATGTCTGGTAGGGAGGGGAGAGAGACCCCAATGATCTTCTCTGCTGCTCTCACTATACATTGGAGGGTTTTATGGCAGGAATTGTTGCAGGCTCCGAACCACACAGTGATGCTGCACGACAGGATGCTCTCGATGGTGCCTCTGTAGAAAGTGTACAGGATGGGGGCTGGTGCTCTTGCTCTTCTTAGTTTGCGGAGGAAGAAGAGACACTGCTGTGATTTCCTAGCCAATGCTATGGTGTTGTTCGTCCAGGAGAGATCCTCTGTAATGTGCACACCCAGGAACTTGGTGCTGCTCACTCTCTCCACAGACACACCGTCGATGGTCAGAGGAGCATGCTGAGTGTGTGCTCTCCTGAAGTCCACAACAATCTCCTTGGTCTTCTCCACATTTAGAGAGAGGTTGTTGTCAGCACAGTCAGTATTGGGGATAAATCTACCCACTTTTTTTTCTTTTCAAGCACTTTGTTTTGTTTTCTTGATTTTATTTGAATAATTTCCTGCCCTTTCTCTCTCTAACCTTCTTGCATGCTGCATGTTTTCTCCGTCTTCCAGAAAAACTGTTTCCTAGATTTCCTACTTTCTAACTAATCAGCCAAAGGGATCTACCGAACCAGCAGCACTGACTTGAAATCACCGGGGCACAGATTATGAACTCAGCTGAAAAGTACATGAAGTACCAGAGAATATGGGCTGATATAAACGATCGCAAACGAATTACTTTGTTTTGGTGGAGCGATTTTGTGAATATAACAGCGGCCGCGCGCAGGACGCAGCTGGAGTATTCGAGCCATTGCCGCTGCGTCTTCTCTGCTCATAGAATGCCTGCAAAGCTGAGTCCATAAATGACATAATATATGTGGATACTGGATCATTTTTCAGGCTTCCCGCAATTTGAATTTTTAGGAAACCCTCATCTTGATTCTGGCTTTAAAAATGCATTGTAATTACCGCGTTACTGACAATTGTACCAAGTAAATATTACCATTTTCTTTCCCTGTAATGCCTTACATTACCACATTACAGCAAAAAGCAATGCATTACAGTAATTAGTTACTTTTGTACCTTGTTACTCCCAACACTGGTATTGATTAAAGGTTTTACATTCAGATTGCAAAACGTTCTATAGATTCTTGCTGATTGAACTCACGTAATTAAAACATAGAGACCAGTTCCACCCTTTAAAACAAATCCATGTACTCTGACTGTTTTACTGGTGTAACAAACTAAAGGTCAAAGTTTATTTCTATTGAACGTTTTTAGCAATTCACACTGCCTCAAAGTGGCGCACAACCAAACACAAACAAAAACAGTGAAGGACTAAACATGTGGTTAAAATACAAACAAGAGACACAGAAAAATAGTAAGAACAATGAGCTAAAACCTACCTAAAAGAAAACTCTAATGCTGAGTCAACTCATATTAAAAGTTGGGTTAAAAAGATGTGTTTTCAACAAAGATTTAAAATGCTCAAGACTATGAGCGGTCCTTATATGCAAGGGCAGGCTATTCCTTGATTTCGGTCAGGCTACAGGGAAGGCTTTGTCACCACGGGTCTTGGCGAGATCTTGGAATGGTAACAGGGCCTGGGAGCTAGAACGCAAGGTTCTGGTTGGAACGTGGGGAGTCAGCTGCTCGAAGATGTAGGAGAGAGATGTACCGTGCAAGGATTTAACCCTCTCAGGCTGAAAATAAGTTTTGATTAAAGGACGAAAAACAAGTCCTTCAGGGGAACGTCTGAGTTAAAAAAAAACGCGCATGAAATACGTATGTGGAGTAACCAGGTAGGTAGGTTTTAACGTTGCAAATCTGCAATGCCTGCCTCCAGAGGGTTAAAAACAAAACGTAAAATAAACAGGAATGCAATGCAGTGAGCCCAGGACTGGGGTTCTGTGTTCGTGTCTTCTGGTGCCAGAAGAAAACATAAAAAAGCACAAACCTGAGAACAATCCTTCATGAATAACAAACAAAACAAAACACGGTTTAGCTCATAATATCTCTTTTATGTTTATCATCCCATTTGGGAGTGGGGTGGGATAATGACATGTATCCCAGTTCATTTACTTTTTCTCTTGCCAGTTTACATGCCATGTATTAGTACCTTATTGCATTTAAGTATTACACAGCTTTTATTAGTTCACCTTCCAGGAGGAATGAGCATACCTGTGCCAATAAACATGACATCGTACTGCCCATCCTCGGCCTCCACTCTGTCCACCACCAGCTGGGAGAACTGGTAGTCTGCATCTGTTCGGACCATGATAGGTCGTCCCCCGATTGGGTGCACTGGGTTGTACATGGCAGGGTGGCCCCTGGCAAAGGTGATGACATCATCAGGAAGGTCTTTGGTAGAGTCAAAACCTCCAAAGGTCTTGCTGGGGCACTGGAATAGAAGGTGAAATGATAGAAAAGCTTAGCAAATCCTATTTTGGAGCATCTGTGACTAACATTAGCTAACTAACTTACAGTGCCAGGGCGAGGGTAGGGCACCCTCCCTTGGAATGGTACCCACTGGTAGTTAGGTCCATCCCTGTGGGCATAGGGGCCCAGGAAAACCCTCCTGATGTCTGCCATATTATACATACAAACGGCTGAGCCTTTAAATATGTTACTGTGGAAGAAAAACAAAGAAAAGGCGAGAAGAAAAATGTGAGGATCAAGAGAACAAGGGAGGTGGAATAAAGAATGGGCTAAAACAAACGGGGAATTCATAAATGATCGGTCACAAGACAGGGATTAGGAGCAAGTGAAATCCTGAGGAAAGACAACAAAATGACCCTTCATCACACAAAGACAGCAGGGAGCAAGGCTGTCATTACCTAAGTACAGGAATGACAGATTGGAACTTCTCCCTGATTGCTTCCAGCCTCTTGAGAACAGACAGGAATTTGGGCACGCCACCAACAAAACAGAAGACCTGGTTTAGAGCGTTCTTGAAATCCTTTCCAATATTTTTGTGAGCCTTTGCTTGAGCCAGATGGAAGGATTTTTACTTTTGCAATTCAAACAAGACTCAAATAGACAAGGTTGAACAAATGTGTGGCAAAAAAAGGGGGATTTTGTCTCGTTCAAATTTACACTTTGTTCAGGGTCAAACAGGCAATGGTGATGACTGAGAATCCTAGGAATTCAAACCACATTTTAACAAAATGTTGTACAGAACTCGACAAAGTGACCTTGCTGGTTGTAATATGTTCACACCACCAAGTCCAAAAACCTTTCAGTCCGTTTACTACAAGATTTTTCTACACTTGTACAGAAGTGTCCAGAAATGGTCTGAAGCTTATTTGTTGACTTTCTAAGAATCCCCTTTTGACAGAAGACACATTTTGTTTTATGCAGCAAATCCTTTTTGCACATTCATGAAGCCAAATGTTTCAGGAAGATTCAAGATGTCCTTTGTCTCGCTGACTGCAATGGGAAGTTGTATGAGACTAATTAGGGATGTGGCTGGCACACACACAGCCGCTGGTATTCACCAAAGCATGGAAGATGAATGGATTAGCATTTGAAAATGTTAATTACAGAGAAATTCAATTAACTCCAGGGGCAAGAAAAGACACTCCAATATCTGAGCTTAGGAAGAAGGGCGATAATGTGTTTGTGCATATAGGAAGAGGACTGTGTGAGCTCACTCCTAGGAAAGAAAAAATAACGCACAAACCCAAGATTCGGAGCACAATCGAACATTGATCTGTCAGTGGCAGCTTCTATGTGCCTCATTAAGCAGAGATCTTAAAAGCTGGTTCCTCTGAATCTCAGTTCTATTCATCTCAGAAAACCGGCCACTTAGAAAACCAATTAAACCTCTCTAATTCCTCAATGCCCCATAATTGAATTTTAAAGTGCAAGTGTGTGTGTGTGTGTGTGTGTGTGTGTGTTTGTGTGCAGGACACATGCAGGTGGATGCCCGCCAATGCACACAGATCTCTGGGTTTGAGAACAGCAGGAAGCCAAATGGGTCCGGTGATCCCAGGCACCGGTCTGTACGTGTCCGCTTACACCACTGTTCCATTCAGCTGCTCTTATCATTAGCCGTGATTGATGGGGATGTGCTTGTCCTCTTTTCAAAGCATTTCACACACAGCAGTGAGCCTGAGCACACACCCCCCCCCCCCCCCGTATTGGATATGCAAATTCACCACCATCCCGATAAGTGCCACCATCTGTGCCATTTCAGCTCACTTATCTGCCCTTCCCCATGCCTTCACCTCTCCACATGCTTTACTAGAGCCACACCCGGGCTCTGAAAACACCATTCATGACTGGGGCGTTGGCACGAGGGGGAAGGAACGTCCATTTCTGCTAAGTGACTATCATGTTTCTCTCGCTCCCTCCTGCTCGGTAATCTGATTTCCCCACAAGGCTTGCCAAGGTTTCAATGAAATGGGGGACAGGTAGCGAGGAATGGGGGAACCAGATAAAAACAGAGCCCAATCTGAGATGTAGGGAGGGAAGGGAAAGCAACCGCAGGACACCTGTAAGTGGATTACAGGAGCGCTGTCTGGGAATTTTAAGAAGGCTCGCCCGGTGACTCAAATGCCTCCGTTGTTGTTGAAAACGCTCTGGAAACTAAACTGAAAGGGATTAAATAATGTTTGTGTAAAGAATGAATTCATGAAAGCAGACAAGGAGCTTGTAATTTTTAAAATGAGCTCTTCCAGGAGAGCCGCCTCTCTTAAATAGATCGTATATCAACTTCTTCTGATCTCCTGACTACAAACTGACCAAACAAAAGCGACACGACCAGCTTCTGTCACGCGATTTGAGAATTGGATCCCCTTCATGCACAGTCTGAAGGTCATAAAGAACAAATGTGAACAGGACGGTGTACCTGGACGTGGTGAACACAGCATAAATGACTGGATTCTTTGGGTCCTTGGAGCTCATGAGAAACACGTCCTCTGGAAATCAAACACAATAACGGGTGAAAAGCATTTCAGAGAAGGACTGTTGGGACGTTTTTCCTAAATGAAAATAAAGAACACACACTTACGTAGTTCATCAAAGTGTGTGTCAATGCCATTGACCCCAGGGACGGAACAGATGAGTCGGGCCTTCAGGAAAGTGGTCCACTTGTTCACCAGGCTCCTGTGGCCTCCCATGTCATTCTGCAACAACATCAATGGATTCCCATGACCTCTCACCTTTAGGTATACTTCTGATCCTCAGTCTGAGTCATGTTTACATTGGTTTTGGTTTGTGTGTGATGTTACCTTACACAGTTGTCCTATCCTGGCAATGGTGGCTTTCCCAGTGTGTTCTCCATCCATGGCATTCTCTTTGAAAAACAGGAAGAGCTTGTCGTCTTCAGGGTTGTCACTTTCAGGGATCAAGTGCACGCTTACAAATCTAGGATCTAAAAGACAAACAAATAAAAGAAAGAACAAAGCAGAAAAATGCAGTCAAGCTTTTAAAGAGAAGAACTTTACACTTTAGACTTTAGTTAGAGATGAAGTGGGCTCAGTTTTGTTTTGAGTCTGATTGCTACATCTGGCACAAGGAACCTTGAATCTGTGTCTGGGTTACTAAAACGTCCTGGAATGAAAAATACTAAAAACAATTACATGATACAACCCATCAAACCAAGTTAGGGAAATTTGCTGAGGTTAGGTGGGCCAAACTACCTGTTAACAAATAACATGAAGTAACTTTAGATATAATTTTATTATTGTGGAAAAATACAGGCAATTTTGCTCCATCTGGGGGAAAAAATCATTTCACCGCCATAGCACACTTTGAAAACCAATCCCTGTCACCGTTTTCTCCATTCAGCGGTCGGCGATAACAGCCGAGCACTTTACACCGCGTATCTGGTTCAACCGCAAACGAGTGCCCACATAACCCCGTCTCTTCACCACTTCCTCGCCAACACACATGGATCTGATTGTCCCGGGTAAAACTTTAATACATTTATCACGACGATACGTTTGAGGGGAAATCAAAGCTGAGAAGTGGCCGGAGTCACTGAGGCGTCATTATGAGTAAAAGGAGCCTGTGCCTGAAAGCTCGGGGTTTAACTGGGAAGAAACAACCAGTGCCATGTTACACCTCTGTGGCTGTTTAGGATATAGAGTAGCTGTGAAAAAGGAGAGTGTGGCCAAAGTGGGAAGCAGATTTATAAGCGTCGTGCTGGTGCAAGACCTCCTGGAAGGAATCATGTGCACCTCACACATGGCTTTATATGGTGAATATGTGCCGTTAAATCCTCAGGTCCGTAAATTCATCTGCACAGGTCGCTGCTCGCGTTGCCAACCACTGAGGTCACTTGAGTCGTTACCTTGCATGCCCAACAAAAGAACACTTCATTCAGAGGATTTTTAATCCATCATCAGTGTGAGTGAGAGGGTATTAAACATGGAAAGATGCATGAATGCATCAAACCCCTGAAACTACTATTTGACCCTAAATCCTTTAAGAATAATCTGCTATTGCAGATTCATTCCAAGCATCTCTCTTGTTACATTTGAGTACCATGTAACCTTGTTGGTAAAGGCTCAATAGAATATCTCCACCCCACTAATCCATGCAATTACAATCCCCTCTTTGTGAAGACAGCTCTGGAATCTGTAAACCTGAATGGCCACAACCCTCGGCGTATTTGTTTGAACAAGGTGAAAGATTAATGGGGATTAATGCTTCAGCAAAGATTTCTCCCCTTTAAAAGTCTCTCATTAATACGTCCAAGTAATCAGCACCACCAAGACCAGTGTTTGTGATTCTGATGCTGTTTGAGTGCAGTTGGGTGGATGGCTGAGAAGAGCTGGAAGGAATTTGACTCCGCAACAGGAAAACAGCTGAGAGTGGATTAGTTCTGTGGGAAAGAGGGGGAAAAGGGGATGGCACGGCTGGAGGGAATGGTTCAAACCGACCTTTTGTGGCTCCCTAAGTCCTCCGTGGTGCGGAAAGATAGCCAGACAGACTGAACCAGTCAATAACCCTCACTGCAGCTCTAATCTTACCAGCACAGGAAAATCCTGCGAATTTGTGAATGCACTCTGATATCTGATGTCTGCGCATGAATGGAAATGATTGGAGACTCGAGGCTTAGGGGGGAACTTAATGCTTTCTGGTTGGCCGGAAAGCCAGACCGTGCCGCTTCTTTTTCTCTAATAAAAGCCAATTTTACCCAAAGAAACTGGTTTAAATTAAACAAAGATATCCAACTTTACTGAAGTCTGATGGATTTTTTGAAGGTTGATGATGCACAAAACAAAACTAAACAAAAAAGTGAGACAGCCATCAGCAATTTTACTACTTTGTTTGTTACTCTATACAAATATAAAGTACTTTTTGATTATGAAAAAAAATCATTTTACCGTTCAGCCATCTTGAATCATGCTGTTCGGTTCTGATTGGGTGATGATCCCCGAGCGTACGAAAAATGGCAAAATCCCTTCCCATGAAATCAGCAGATGTTCCAGAATACAGCTCTCCATCTGCAGGCAAGGCATTTTAGTCAAACATGAGCGACCAACTCTAAAATGGATGTGTTGTAGAGTTAATAAAACCAAACTCACCAATCAGAAGGGACGCAGAGAGCATTTTAGGGTCATAGGGGCTTTTGCCGCGGCCGTTCTCAAATAGTGAGGCCAGTCGGAAAACGTTGTCCTACGGAGGAAAGGGTCAAAGTTCAACAGGAGGCCAATGAAAGCCGCATTACGCCTGGTTAAAAGTACATTTATAGTCGTGTTTCGAGTTACGGTTTATTCTTGTTATAGTGAGCTATTTTGAGCTGAGATGCAAAACTAATTCAGCCTGACACGAGCAATGAGTAATGTCTTTTTTTATCTTCCTGTTGGGTTGTTCTGCCGTGGGTCAGCAACAGTTTCTGCAACAGCTCAGCAGAGAGAGAGATGTATCCGTAGAGTAAGATACGAAAACATATGAGTAACTAAAGCTTATGCAGGTGCTGACCACTAAACAGAAACACTGATCTCCCTGTTGTTGGTCTGCAGAATGCATGCTGGTACATTGATTAACCTGCAGACTTCTATCAAGGTGACTGATTGAACCTTTGTGTAGGCGAGAGGTTGCTGAACATCCAACAACTGTAATTCAACCAAGTGTTGACCCATCTTCCCCATTTATTCACATAAAATAAATCATTCATCAGTGAAAAGAGAACTGGACTTTTCCAAGACATTTGCCGTCAAATGTCAAGACAGTTAAAAAAGGACATGCAGTAAACTGCATGTTTGGGAATCTTAAAGTACCCAAACACATTACCTCGGCCCTCTTGCCCATTTCCAGATAAGCACAGATGGGGTGGAAGGCTCCCGTGCCACAGATGTACAAATGGGTCTGGTTGTATGGTTGAAGGACTCGGATGAAGTTAGAACATTCTTTCTACGAAAAGAAACATGAAAAGAAACATGAAACTCCAGGATTTTGATTTGTCCAGAAATACAGACTCAATAAAGACTAAAAGAAAATACTCTTTTAAGGAAATTCCATGTGGAAATCCAATCAGGCAAATCTGTTAATGATCCATATGCTTGAATTTACCGAGGGTTATTTGGGTTGGCTCCCAACCACATCTCAGCAGTCCCAGTGGTGTGAGACTGTAAATTAGAGCGCTAATAAACAACATTAGTTAATGTAGGAGGGTCATTAGCAGCCTAAGGAGGAGATTTAGGCACATGTGTTTAAGAGATTAAGCTCGGGTTAGCTCAATTATAAAAACGCTGAGGGTCCACCTGGCAAAGAGGTACATTTCTGCAAGGGGATTTGAAAACTCAGCACACATCCCATAAAATAGTTTCTTTCTCTTCATTTCTTTTAGTATCTGTTCAGCCTTTGAAGCCTGCAAACGTTTCACTCTGATGATGTGATGATGTCCTCTTGTGAGAGACAAAAATGAACACAGGGCATCCGGTTGGAGTGATGACATTTTCCAGGGCTGCATAAATTAACACTGAGAGCACAAACTGCCAAGTTTTTTTCCACAGCGTCGACTTTTCTGTTATTATTCAAAGGGGCAGGCACTGTTGTTTCAGCGCTGACTGTTTCTCTTCCTCGGTAATTTGCTTAAGGGGAAAGTTTGACATTCTGGCAAATGAAATGATTTAGTTTGTTTTAGAGCTGGATGTAAAAACAAAACCACTCACTGAGTTTGAAGCTGGAGAGGACAGCTGGCTAGCTTACAGAGTTTGCTAGTTTGTTTCACGGTTTTCATGAATCTTACACAAAAAACGACCAGGAAATATGTCAATTTGTGGTTTTAGGAGGGTTCAACATAGACGGTTTCCTTGGATGTTAGCCTCCTCAGAAATATATAAAATTAGCACAACTTTATAACCTTTCGCTGATTAGTTAAAGCCCACAAAATTCATGTGCTTTCATAATGAAAAAAAGCCAAGGAGGTGAGTACATGAATTTTACATCCAGCCTATTTTACCTGTTTTTTTCTCAGCTTCTCAACACACATTTAACCGTTTGTGTTAACGTTTTACATCCAAACCAACATTAACAATAAATACAATGAAAATGCAATACAATTAATAGTTTAAAGGAGCCATATCATGGAAAATCCACTTTTGGAGTTTTTTTTTATCATGTGACAATCTTATTTCCTCATGAAAAATACCCTCAAACTTGTTTTTGGCAGCATTCATGTATTCATGCATGTCTCTGGGGCAATTTCTCAGATTCTGAGCTGAAACCTGCAAACACAAGGATGGAAACGAAGTTCTGCGATGTGCTGGCAACCCCCCCCCCCCCCCCCCCCCCCCCCCCCAGCATATAACACCAGTTCTCAAAGCCCTTCTTCATTGGTTGCCCATCACTTTCAGGGTCCAATATAAAATGCTACTTTTTGTTTTAAAATCCCTCCATGGTCTTGCCCTCGTGAACTTATCTGACCTTTCAATTTATACTCCCGGTGGCACACTCCGGTCCTCCAGGCTGTTGCTCCTCGAGGTCCCGAAAGTGTGTTACAAATCATGTGGACAAAGAGCTTTCTCTGTTGCCGGTCCTAAACTGTGGAACGAACTTCCAGTCACAGTTCGACTGGCATCCACCTTGGCAGATTTTAAGTCTAGACTGAAGACACACTATTTTACCCTTGCTTTTAACAGTTAGCTGTTAGTTTGGCTTTTACTACTCTTATTTTATCGTCCATGTGTAAGGTTTTGTTGGTTTTATTGTTACTTGTTTATGTCGGCTTGTCTTTTTTTTATTGTTGGCTGTATTTTATAGTACTGTTTTATGTTTTTTTTTTTATCTCTATTATTGTGCAACTGTTCAGCACTTTGGTCAGCTGTATGGCTGCGTTTTTAAAGTGCTATATAAATAAAGGTGGTATGGTATGGTTGATTTCATGCTGCAGTTGAAAATGTGACTGCTTTAAACCTCTACCGGTACCAGAGTGGATATTCTGACAAATGACTTCTTCTGGGGACAAAATTCTGCTGTGAAAACCGCATGTCCTCTCCACAAAGAGGATTGTATTATCCAGCACAAGACATGTGTGTTAGGTGACATTTTGTAACAGGTTTGGTGGCCTTGCATGCTGTTTTGCACTGGTTTGACTCCCAGTCTCTGCAGTAAGATTTTTTCTTCTTCTTTAGCTACATTTACATTATAATGTTTTCAAAACTTTATTGGTAAACTGTCTCAAACATAAGGACTGATCTTTTTTTTTTTTTTTTTTTTTACTTTATTTAGCCAGTGTGAGTCCATGCGAGGTGAGCAGAGTAAATAAATTCAAACTCTGCTTTGAATGACCAAATTCAAAGATCTTTAAAGAAACAAAATATTTTGCAGAAAATAATCAATTCAATTAAAATATAAAAAAAAAACATTTAATCTGCTTCAGCTGGCTGAATACATTACTGCCAATTCCAGGAGTCAAACTGGCACCAGCACACGGCAGTCACTTTCACCACTGGACTACCAGGGCCAGTACAACATTTGCTTAAGACGCTGTTGTTGGCGTGTTTTGTTTGAGCAGGTGTGGGCGGAGCTTCACTGAAACAGACAGTCTCATTTCGAGGTTCTAATTCAGGCTGATGAAAATAACTCATATTTAAGATAAAATGACATCTCAAGTGTGCTGATCATATATTGTACCTATCTTTGCTTTCAAAGGTTTAAAATAGCATGATCTGGCTCCTTTAAGCCAACATGTCTGGTGAGTTAATAAACAACAACAACAACAATAATAATATTAATAATAACAATGATATTTATAATAAAAATAATAATATTTTCACATTATCATTCGAATATCTCCATATAAAAAATAAATGTTATTATCCTTTCTGATCTTCAGATTTCTTGTTTAGTTCTGCCCATGTACTACCCAGCGGTTGGTGCAGTTTCCACACTTCAGCCACAGGAAGATCACCAAGTTCACCTAAAAGGACTAAACCAGCACAATATCAAACGACTGACCTCAACCCTCCATGTCTGTGAATCCATACAATTCTGCAGCTTAATGACTTTCCCTTCTGTGTTTCCTACTGTTGAACTGTCAGAGCACATGCACCCCCCCACATCATTCTCACGCCCTTATTATACGCATTTCATCAGCTCCTATAAAGCCCCCCAGGATCACCCCTGTGAAGGATTTACCACGGCTGTCCCAGTTAGATTCATTAGCTATGTGGTAGGTATGGTTGCACCTAAACACTGACAGGTGTTGGATAGAGTCACACGAGTGCAGCTGTGTGTTGGCCTCAAGTGAAAAAAAAATAACGGTGTGATCACAAACCGTGTCATTACTTGAACACTAAAATACCCACGGAGAATGAATGACTCATTTTTGGATAAAATTAATCACTTTCTTTGGACTGGGTATTAAAAACGACTCTCCATCAGAGAAATGGGTGGACAGTTTTACTCACATGTGGGTGAGTTGATGGAATTTTGGCTAATACAGGTTCTCTGAATAAAAACTGCATTGGAAATTTAGAACCCTTATTGGATTAGTATTATTTTATTTTTTTTATAATTACTGGGCAGATATTCAGGAAGGGCATCTAGCATTTTGTCACGAAACTACACTTATCACAACACCACAATGGAACAACCTGGGCAGTCACTCGGAGTGGGAATGGAATAAAGTCCTCAGGCATTTTTAGGGAGGGGGCAGCTGTTACTTTTGCTCTGCAGTTGTAAATTGTGGTTTGGAGAAATGCATCACTTTGAGAGCTCTGGATGCTTTGCTAATGTCCTAATCAAGACCTCTTCGTGCAATACTCCGTCTCAAATCTCACCGCCTCGCTTTCAAGGGTAAAGACGCAGCACGCAAATACCTCATTACTTTGTTTTGTGCACTTCCAGAGTGCAATCTTTCTGTGTGATGCAAGTGCACCACTCCTACAGCTTTGGCTTTAGGTGAATTGTGAAAATCAGCGTTGAGTTTGACCCCAGTCAAACCTTTGTTATTGAAAAGGGTGTGAATAATAAGAAAAAATACCTGCAGCCCTGCACTTACGAATCATCCAGCCATGAAATAGAGATCAGATACAATACTGAGACGGCTCTTTCCAAACAGGAACACAAAGATAAGATACGCCAGCCCTATTGTGCATACAGTCAGTAGCAGAGTTTGAATGTGTGCTTACATTTCACGACCGACAACAAAAACCTGAAACAGTGACTCCCACATGCGATGAACACACGTGCATGATCGGAGTCAAACACATTTGCACATAAACTTTGAGCTGTTGTCCTTTTGCCATTGAGACACTGTGTTTGTGTGACTGAAAAGCTGCTCTGCAGTGAGTTTGCCTGCTTTGTTGCAGGTGTCCTTGGGACATAGCCAGTGGAGAGCTGAAAGGTGAAATGAAACATGGATTTTATCTGAGGTAATTCCCTACCTCCTCATTCTCTTTTGTCCCTTTAAATTAATCCAAAAGAAGGTTATTTCGACTCTGGATTAAATTTAGGACAAACCAAAGAAAATTAATATTGACAAATGGAGAAAAATCTGCAGCACGAGAGGCTAAAAGGAAAGCAAACAGCCCAAACAAGTACCAGGACTCACCCCCAGATCTTTTCCTGCCCATTTGCATTCATCCCTCTTGGAAGGGGTGGCCGGCCACGCAAGCTGTGCAAATGACAGAATAACAAATTCAGATTACAGCAGTGGCTAAGAGAATGATTAACATGTAGTTTAATCACTGATGAGTCAATTCGGGGAGTCATAAAGAAAAAATCATCTTATTCTAAAATAATGACTTTGAATTTGTCACACGTTAACTCTTTTGTTGCTTAGTGGGTTTGCTTTCTCACTTTATGTCTTCGGCAATTTCATCACAATATGTTCCACACAAACGTGTCTCAGTCTAACACTAGGATAAAAGGAGACGGGCGACAGGCATTCCTGCAAGAAATTATCACCATTAAATTGAAGAAAGGATCGTTCTCTCAGCTCTGACTGAAACTTGAAGCTTAAGGTTGTATTTTGCACTTAGAGAACAGAAAAAACGGGTTTTGCAACTGCGTCTTGAACGAGTTTCGTCTCGCTGTCATTTCTTCATGCCCTGTGGTTACACATGAATTATAAACACACATGGAGAGTATGAGTGTGCATGTGTGAGCTATAAGTAAGAGGATGATTATGTTCTTAAAATTGGGGTGCGACGGGGCTCTTTTTTGCTGTTGGCCACACAGATGTGAGCAGACAATGGAAATAAATGCACATGCACGTCCATGCATTACAATGTCCTTTTCAGAGTGTACAAATGTCCCATTACATTTCATTATCCACTCTTGATCAGCTGAGCACTTCCTACATAAAAATCTGCATTGTATATAACTAATTAAATTAGATTTGCTTAATCACAGCTTTAACTTTTAATGTTGCACAGTTTTGGAACAAAAGAGCTAAAGGCAAAGGAATCTGAGGACACGTTTTCAGTTTTTTGCATTTTCATTGACTATGCATTTTTCAGCAATTTGTTCCCATGTGAAGCTCTCTGCAGCCCGCAGGCAACCAACTGTCAGACGTGTGTGTCTATGGTAGCGGCCCGAATTGGATAAAAAGACTGTTAACCTACTCCAGGTGGAGTAATGGAATTATGGAAAGCCGTGTCTGGACTGAGACAGACAGTGGGTGGGATGAAAGCTGTAGAGAAATAGATGAAATAATAAGACTGCAGAGGTGGGGCTGGACAGCAGAAGAGAAGATATTAGATAAAACATGACTGTTTTACACTTTTACCCTCAAATATGAAACTTTTGCATTTTATTGGACACAACTTGCATTTGAGATTCACCTGTTTGTGTTCCCTGTTGATATTAACGAGGTCAAATGAGAAGACATGGTCCTCTGCTCCAACCAGTAGCCTCCCCCGCTCCTCGTCCAATAGAAATGTGTCATAGCTTGAACTGTTGGCCAAGCCGTCGAAGGTCACAAGATTACTGGACTCTAACATCTCTGGAAAAAGAGAAGAAGAAGGAAAATCACACAACCGACCGCAAATAAAGGTTTGAATTGTAGAAAAACACTTCTTGTGAAGTAAAAAAATAACAAATCACAAAATAATGAACCGATAGTGCAAAAATAATTGCTTTTGCATGAACACTTGTTCCTTTAGATGAAACACTGCATCAAATCAAAGTAAATATTTGCACCACATCCATTTTTGGTGTCTGAATAGCTCAGCAGTTCCACTTGTTGAAAGAAATTACAATTAAGGAAATTACATGTTTCGCTGATGGCCTGGCACAAATATTTGGCTTCGCTTGCATACAGACACGTGTCAGTCAAGTATAGCGTGAGACATTTTAAGCAAACACAGCATGCCACAATCAGCGACACGGCTCAGACTGCTCAGCCGTGTGATTGGCTGAATAATTCATACGGAGGTAGTTTGTGTTAGGAGGCATGTGTGTAAGATGTGTTTGTGTATCTGCAAATAGCTTATTATGGAAATTAACAGTTTATGATTGCAAACATATTTCTGAAAAATCTCGTGTTTACATGTTCAAACTCTTACAAATAACCTGACAGCACATAAGGAAACAAAAAGGAATCCATCACATTTTAGGGGAAAATGTACTGGATTGCTAACTTCAAGTTGCTAACAATCAGCTAAAGTTTCAACAGTAAGAAACCTTCCTGAAAACAAGTTAACACACGATAGTGTCCCATAAATACCTTAACAGGCTGCTGCTGTCACTGTGAACCCACTCCTTTGACTTTTACTGAAGTTCATTTCCTGACAAAAGTCCCTGTTGTGACTTTTAGGGTTTCCTCTTTTCTTCCGTGTTTTTATGGCCTTTCTGAAAATGATCTTTCAGTTGCAAACTCCAAAATCCACAAAAGAGAGTTATTCCTTCCTTCACAGAAACAACTTTACCGAGTTTTGTTTTCTAGATTTGAAAACACATACAAAGATAAATACACCTTCAAACACAGTGCTGGTTTTCAGTCATCCAGGTCATCGGTTCGAATAAAATGAACTTATTTGGTTTTTGGACGGTATTTCACTTCTTCACCTCTCCAGCACCTACAATCATGGACGTAATTTTTACTTTAGAAGTGAGGGGGACACGGGGGGGGGGGGGGGGGGGGGGGGGTCTTTACAGTACGCTCTAATGGGAAACAGGCTTCAACACAAACGGTTGTTTTCCGCTTGGTCTTAGAGCTCAACCAGTGTCAATTTAGTAAGTGTAATATTGTTTTTGGATGGTAAAAAGTGCAGGGGTCAAAGTGGGGGGGACATGTCCCCCCTGCCCCCCCCCCCCCCCCCCCCACATGCCTACAATGCAGCTCTAAACCTATTCTCAAACAGTTTCAGTCTAGGTCACACCCTCCTGTCCTGCATCTAATCAAAACAATCGTTCTAACACAATAAGACATAATGACAATAACGACTCATTGTCTGAACATTATCTTTTGTGCTGTCCTTGTACAATATAACCAAACTAAACTAAACTAACGTGAGGGTAGGGATGAGGGTATCATAGGTAGTTTCAGCTCATTAAGTAACAACAGACAGCTACAGTTCAGAAGCTTGACTCTCCCGTATTCCATTCAGAATTGAAAAAGCTCCCTGGATGAAAAGCAAAAAAAGAAACCAAAAAGTCAATTTTTCTTCATTTGAACCTTTTGGACGTCAAACACAATACTGATATTAAATGTGCCGTTAAAGAAAATAATTGTTTTATATGGTCATGATGGTTTTGTGATTAAACTGATAATGATTAAAAGCTCACAGAGGCTTTAACGCTAGATGAGGGTTTTACAGGTGAGCAGTGAATAAATAAGATACATTTATATTTTATTGCCCATTAAAATCTTTTTTTAATCTTCTAAATGTCATTTTTATTTGCTTTAAGTACAAAGAATAAAGTTCTTTAGATGACAAGATATGGAATTTGAAAAAAATAAAATAAAATAAAAGAGAAATAAATTACACTTTGGGGTAACAACAAGATTTGAAAATATTAAAGTTGATTTGAATGGTCCTAAATGGTAGAAGGGTAACAATATTTTCACAACCGTGGGTATCTACTCAAAATTGTAAAGTTCAACTCAAGGTGCAAAAATAGAATTTGTTTCAGAAACTTCATTAAATGTTTTGTTTAATATTTGGAGAAGGAAACATATAAATCCACTCTAAACTATAAACTGCTACTTTGCATGAGAAATACTAATCACATTTTTTTTCTTAGGGTCACAACATCTTATAAGTAAACTTCAAAGTGACAGTGTGTCATTTTTAGTGTTAATCTCTCGAAATATCCATCAAAATGTTGTTGAAAATGAATGAAATGATGCCCAGTTGTTGAAAAATATTGGCGGCATCGTAACATAAAACCATAAAAATCTGGTCTAAAATACATGGGAGCGGGTTTAAGTCTCAGGGCGATGCCATATTAGATGCCATGTTTCCTTCTACGGGAGCTTGTGAGGACAAAACACATTCACTGATTTGTAACAAATTGTTACAAAACTTTCACCATTAATAAACGTTGTTTTACACATTTACCTCTTCACTCATTGCCAGTGATGAAAAGGAGTCTCTGGTCTTTTTTGACCCTAATGGGCATCCGTTGGTGAGGTCTTACTCCAACACAAAAATACTGCTTGCTTGCAATGATTTAGGTAACTACTGCCCCTATCGCCAGGAAAAATGCACACTGTCACTTTAAAGTGTTCTGACATCTTTGATCTTTATAGTGAAATTAATTTGAATTTGTTAGTGACAAAAAGGTGTATCAACCACAAAGTCTAATGGCTGTCCTAAACAATGATCTGAACATACATTAATAATTTAATATCAAAGAAAAAATAAAACATGAAAGCAATGATTTTGTGCTCTAAATACACACGATGTGCTCATCATGAGCCCACAGGTAACACACACTGATGCATCGGCCTCAAATCAGTCAGCATCATCCATCATTATTAGCGTCAACACGTAGAACCGACACACAGTTACACTATATCATACAGAAATAAGCACAAGCACACACACATAAACATACATGTGTGCAGTTCACTGAGCCTCGGCTCTCTGTGTAAAGCTCTGATTGACGGTCTGCTATAGGAGCCATCTGCAGCCGCTCAGATCTCAGGACATCTGCGTCCACATGAAAGAAGGAGCTGATGGAAGGGGAGATGGAGGAAGCGGTGCGTCTAGCCTCTCTGTGCATGAGGGAGACGGACAGCGACTGAGGGGGGTGGTCATCACCTAATAAAGATGGTCGCAGCTCATCTACGTCAGATGGATGTGGTTACCAGTGTGGACATGTGTGTGTGTGTGTGTGTTTGTTCTGCCTCACATGGATTTCTGGTAAGAGTGTGTAGATCTTTTTCACACAGACTATTCCATCATTCATTTAAAAGAAAGAAAAACCTCGACTGTACTCAGAATATGAAGGCCAGGAGTTTAACTTTAGATGCAGGAATTGCCTTCAGATTTGTTTTGCAACCACTTGGCAGCAAACCAGACACCCCCTCCTTCTCAGTTTACAAATAAAAGTGACGCAGCGGGGTCAGGAAATGAGTTCAAGAAGGGGAAAAAGGGAAATGCGAAATCCAGTCGACAGAATGCCAGGAGGTCTGCCTGTGTTTCGGAGATGAAAAATTGGAATGGACATTGGGAATGATTGGAAAAAAACCTGCATGGGCACAACGCTGAAATAAGTGTGGATGGATAAAAACTAGATCAAAATATCGGATGCTGAGACTTAAAGTCAATCAGGATGAAGGAAATGAACAAAACAGAGGACTAGGAAGAGTTTTCCCTCTTTCATTACTGCTCATGCCGGATCTGTGTGTGACGACCCGTGTGATTTGTAAGCAAGCTTCGTCACAAAAGGCTTCCTCTAAATGAGCCAAGTTGAAGAAATAAAAACAGGCATGCATCTTTCAACATGTGGTGATCTTTGACAAAAACAAGGTGGCCTGTGTGCGTGAAAACACACAGAAAGGGTTTATCTAGGCTGGGATCTACTGTGGTTTGGAAAATCTGGGAGAACTGGGGCGTAAGCACCTAAGGACCTCCAACCTAAACACAGACACGCTCGTTTGAAAGGAGAGGTGGAGCTGCAGAGCTCATACAAAATATAGCAACCAAGTAAAAAAACAGGCGCATGCAATGAATACACAGAACACAAACACACCAAGGAAAAGATTTTAAAATGAGAACATCTCCTTTTGACCCGTGTGAATACATTAACACACACACACCTCCTCTAAAGACTTTGGCCTCACTCACCACACACACATGCACACGCCTCGTGCCCCTTCGCCACACACACTAAGCTTACACTTTACCCGCTGAATGCACCGACATTTTAACACATCTGCTTGTGTGTTTTCATACCGACTTCAAACAGAAACACTTGGTTCAGTCTTTGTTTCCCATTTTTTCCGATCGCACAAACCCTTCAGCTTCCTGCTTTCGTTCACACGTTCTTTCGTTCACAAGTGGCGGTCTCGTTGCTAAGTCATCTTTTTCAACTTTTTAAACTGATATTTCAACATTCATTTACTTCGGATCACTTTTTCCCTTCACTACTCAGATTTTCCTTCACTCACGTTTACAAAGTTAACTAAACTACAATTTGCCAAACTTCCTGGAGGTTAATCACTGGTTGTTTTATTTCTTTATTTCTGGCATATATATATATATATCGCAATTTGTTGCAGTACAACATTATTTAATTCACAGGATTTCTAACAAATGATTTTAAACTTTATTAAACAATTAGAAAAAATGCAGAGTTTATTTTTATTTATTTGTTGTAAATATAGGGTTCTGACAACAAGAAGTGATAAAATGGAGTTTCTAAATTTTTATAGCGGACATGTCAACAAATAAAACAATAAACTAAATAAAGCTAGGCTGAAGATTCCTCTCAGGTCTAGTTCTCAGCTTTTGTACTCATGTTTTTAATGTTCTGATAGTTTTTGTTTTATGG